GGGGGGGGGGGGGGCGCTAGACCCCCATCTCCAGACCGACCTCTTCCGGGGCAGTTCTGAGGGACTGTGGCGCTTGGCTGGGCTGGGGGCTCAGAATGCTTAGGTTCCAGGAGCAGCCCTCCCCACCCCCCAGCAAATCCATGGGGGAACTTGGCCGCTAAATCAGGAACCCCTCGACCAGCCCTGTCTGATAGACATGTTCTATATCTGCACTGGCCACTTGAAATGTGGCGGATGGCATTGAAGACATGGGATTTGGAAATTTTGTGGCGATAGTGGTGAGGTCAACTTCTTTTGAAAAATCACGGTAAAGTTCGCGGTCACCCTGTTGGACAGGGCAGCTCTGGGGACCCTTACCAGGTCCTTTTACACGGCCACCCTGTCCCTCTGGTGACCCCTGGCCCTGAAACCATGACTCACCTAGAAAAAGGGGTTGTTATTGAGGTGGGGTGGTGTTAAGAGGGGGACAGAGGAGTAGCATAGCTCTGACCCTGGGGACTCCACTGGCCCGCCTCAGGGTCTGGCCTTCCCTGGCACTAAAGTTAGATTGGTGGGGGCTGGGCGGGGGTAGCTTTCCTGCTCCAGCTTTTGTTGATTCTAAGATTCAGCTTCTGAGAGGACTCTTGCGCCGTTCTCAGATTCTAAAATTTCTCAGCTCTGAGATGCCTTGATTCCCTGGTGAGAGTAGCTCCTGGGCTACGCTGGGGGGTGGGGAGGGAGGTCGAGGTGGAGCGTGGGAGCATGCCGGCTGATGCTGTCCCCTTCCCGCCCGCCCCCCAGTCAGCTGCCAGGAGAGCAGGCACCTGTTGTGCGAATTGTCAGACCACCACCACCACCTTATGGCGCCGGAACGCCAACGGGGACCCGGTCTGCAACGCCTGTGGCCTCTACTACAAGCTGCACAACGTGAGTGCCCCGCCCCGTGCCTCCCCAGGGACTCTGTGCTTTGTGCTGCCAGACTGGGCCCAGCCTCAGTATCCAGCTTGGCTTGGCTTGGCAAGCCGGCCCTGTGGCCCTGGGCGCCAGACGGGCATTCTGTAAGGGGAGGCACCTTGGCTTGGTAAGGGGCTGACCAAACAGTCGGGTGGGTGGGGGTGGGGTGGGGTGTGTGTGGAGGGGCCAGCCTGGCTGGCTGTTAGTGAGGAAACAGTGCTGGCATTTAGTGGGGAGGATCCAGGGAGACACTGAAGTCCTGCTGCATTCAGGTCCCACTCAGGGACAAGCCCCCCGTTACCCAACCCCCTCCCCACCCCGCATGCTGACAGTACAGGCTAAGAGGGTGAGGGGGCGAGGGTGGAGGCCCTATAGGGGCAGTTTGAAGGAGACATGGTTCCTGGGACCCTCCTAGCCCAGCTCTCAGCTCCAGCCCCGCCCCAGGTGGGGTGCATTCCGCTCTGGAAGGGAATGCCGCATCCTGAAGACATCATGGTGGTTGTCCCCAGGTGAACAGGCCGCTGACCATGAAGAAGGAAGGCATTCAGACTCGGAACCGGAAGATGTCCAACAAGTCCAAGAAGAGCAAGAAGGGGCCCGAGTGCTTCGAGGAGCTGTCGAAGTGTATGCAGGAGAAGTCGTCCCCCTTCAGTGCCGCTGCCCTGGCTGGACACATGACGCCTGTGGGGCACCTCCCACCCTTCAGCCACTCGGGACACATTTTGCCCACGCCGACGCCCATCCATCCCTCCTCCAGCCTCTCCTTTGGCCATCCCCACCCTTCCAGCATGGTGACCGCCATGGGCTAAGGACAGCTTTCTGCTGATTAGGAGACCATGTAGAGTAGGGAGCAGGCAGGACAAGACTGGGCTCCCAGGATGGGTGACAACCCCTTGGCCGTCCACTCCTCCCCAGAGACTGATGCGACTCCTACTGGCCCAGCGGGGCCCAAGGACTCCACCCATCTGTCGAAATTACTGTGAATTCCACCGGTTGGGGTGCCTCGGCCCCCCCCCCAGCCCCCCCACCTCCCCGCCGCCCAGGTGAGATGACCTTCACCAACAGCTATTCAGAGAGCAAAAACGGACAACTTTATGAAGCGCAAAGAAGGGGCAGGGGACCAACGAGAGGAAACGCTTCGAGCAGGATCAAGGAGTCAGCAACAATAATTTATGTTGCTCTCGTTTGTAACGAGGACCACGGGCCTCGGAGGTCCAGGTCGTTCCAAATCCGCCTGGCCAAGCAGCCCTCCTCGTGCCAAACGCCCTCTGCTGTTTGCTGGCCAGGTCTTTGGGGGCAGATCTGGGGTGTACGCTGTGCACCTCTGACACCCCCCTTGTGAGGTAGCTGGACTCCAGGCTGGCTGGGCCCAGGCCAGAAGGACCCACGGTTGGGAGGGTGAGCTTGTGTGGGCCAAGCCGCTGGCGCTGGAGGGCAGGCCCCGGTGGGAGAGACAATCACAGGCGGCCCTGTACGGATTCCCAGGCCAGGGTTGGGTCAGAGGAAGGAAACGACGTTTTCTTGAAAGGGGAAACGTCTCCTAGATTGCTCCCCTGCCTTTAAGACCGAAGCTGGTGTGGTCCGGGCCCCCTTAATTAATGGGCTGGAGCCACAGCCCGCCTTCTCGATTGGGGAGATGGCCCTCCTGTACATAGGACCCTTTTCTGCTAACCCTCCCCAGTTCCTCCCCTCCCACTCTGAGACAAAAGGAAAAAAAATGTTAAAAAAACAAACTGCATAAGCTTATCTCGCTGATGAGTTATTTTATTTTTAAACTTTTTGGATCCAGTCGATTGTACGTTACCACAGAAGTCATGCTATGGAAAAGAAATAAAATCTACAAATCTAGGTTGTAGCTTCACAATTATTTTTGGAGGATTTCTTGGATCCCATAGCCCTGGAGCTGGAGGCCTTGGGAGAGGGTATGACGACTATTGGCTTCGGGGGCGGGGGTGTGAGGTGTTTGTTTGGTTTTCTAGTCTGACAGCTGGCAAATACACAGGTGGGAGGGGCACAGCTCTGGTGGTGGGGTGGTTGTGGCCCTATTTGGGGGCACGGGAGATGCTGGGCCTGTGGCTATCTGGATCCTTACCAAGGTACAGCTGTGCATAAATGTGTACCGAGCTTAGATTCCAAATGCAGTGGTGGTGGGGGGCCCAGGAAGAGGGTTGTGCTGATGTAATGGACCAAGTGCAATATGGGCAGGTGATCCCCACAGGTGCACCACGGCGAGAAGTAACTTATTTTGTACTTGTATCCGTATAAGAAAAAGAATCGGCAGTATTTTCTGTTTTCTTTGGCTTGTCTTATTTTGGATTAGTGAACTAAGTTATTGTTAATTATGTACAACATTTATATATTGTCTGTAAAAAAAAATGTATGCTATCCTCCTATTCCTTCAAAGTGAATACTGTTAAGAATAATAAAATACTTTTTGTGAATGCCTCTGGTTTCTGCTGTGGGCTCCTGGGCCCCGGTCTGCCAATCCCAGGTGCTGGAACCTAAGTTGGCCAGACCACACTGCTCCAGGGTCCCTGGGTTTGCAGGGGAAGGGCTACTGGGGCAGGGTGCCCACGGGTCTGATTTCAGTGCTGAGATGTGGTGTCTCAACCCCAGGTTTTTCTATCTGAATTCCCCGGTCATCATAGCCCTCAGGAGGGTGGCTACCAGGGAGGCCCTCAGTCCACACCCGAATCCTCTTCCTGAGGGCTCAGCGAGACTCTTTCCAGGCTCTTGGAAAAAACTCTCTCTCCTCGCTTCCTGAATGCTGATCAGGTGTGGTTGCTGAGCTGTCACCTGAATTCCAATTCATTGACGAACCCGATCCCCAATGTCTTGGGGACTGCTGCCATTCATTGTCATCTTTGATACGACTGATAATGTCTGCTTACCAGTGATCACATGTCAGATTACTAACACCTAATCTCTAATGTTTCATCCATGCCTCATGTGATGGCTCTAATCACTGACATTCACACGTGATCACCGATGTGTCCAGTGACTCTGATGCTCACCAGTATTTCTGATCATGAGTGTTGTCACCAACGATCCCGCTCAGCATATGTTCTGATGACCAGTCTCTCCAAACTCCAAATTCATAGATGTATCTTCAATGCTGCCTCAAAGTGACCCTACAGGACAGAGTAGCACCGACTGTGGGCTTCCCGGGCTGAATCTTTAAGGGAGTAGAAAGCCTTGTCCTAGATCAGCGGTTCTCAACCTGTGGGTCACCACCCCTTTGGGGGTTGAACGACCCTTTCACAAGGGTCGTCTGATTCATAACAGTAGCAAAATGACAGTGATGAAGTAGCAATGAAAATAATTGATGGTTGGGGGGTCACCACCACATGAGGCACTGTATGAAAGGGTCGAGGCAGGAGGAAGGTTGAGAACCCCTGCCCGGGAGGGTTCAACAGCCAAATGCTGAATCCGCTCTACAACCAGGACTTCTATCACTACCTCTGCTAACCAATAGCTCTAACTAACAATGTGACTGATGACTAATACTACTGAATTAGTTTCCAGTGCTCCTGTAACAAACATGGCAAGTGGCTGGATTTAAAGAACAAATTTGTTTTCTCACAGTTCTGGAGGCTGAACGTTTAAATCAAGGTCTTCTTGTACGCAGCCTCAGATGGTCACTGACTCCTTGGCGCATCGTCATGTGTAGCTGACCCTTACATATCTGGATCTAACTTGGTCTTCTTTTAACTTAGATGTGATTAAGAACCCACTCTGTTCTCATTCGATCTTATTAACAAATGCTGTTTCTAAACGATTATATCCACACACCGAGGGCTGAAAATTCAACACATTTTTCAGAGGCACAATTAAATTCATAAGTCTCTAATCATAGAACCCTCTTGCTAGCAATTTTTTATTTGTTGTCCATATCTCTGGTCACCCATATCCTAGGTCACCAGAAACTCTGGTTACTTTTACCCCTGACTCTCAGTTTGGCTACCAAAATCTCTTTTCACCAATATCCCCAATAACCAACATGCCATGACGGTTGAATCTTTTTTTTTTTTTTAATCATTTTATTGGGGGCTCTTACAACTCTTATCACAATCCATACATTGTGTCAAGCACATGTGTACATTTGTTGTCATCATCATTCTCAAAGCATTTGCTCTCTGCTTGAGCCCTTGGTATCAACTCCTCATTTTCCCCCTCCCTTCCCCCTACCCCCACCCTCAAGAACCCTTGATAGTTTATAAATTATTATAATTTTGTCATATCTTACCCACTCCCTTCACCCACTTTTCTGTTGTCCATCCCTCAGGGAGGAGGTTATGTATAGATCCTGGTAATCGGTTGCCCCTTTCCCCTCCACCCTCCCGGTATGCCGTCATCATTTTGGTTTTTTTTGTCATCATTTCCAAAACATTTTCTTTCTACTTGAGCCCTTGGTCTCAGTTCATTTCCCCCCCTTTCTCCCTCCCTCCCTCATGATGGATCTTCTCATCCAAGTTTGATGACCAGTGTCCCTCAGTCATTGGTCACCAGGGTCTTATGATTAATTCTCTATTAATCCAAATCTCTAATTATTAATACCTCTATCACCCAAGCCTGAGATCCACAACAGACCTGGTCATCCCCTGTCTCCAGTCATTCATTCTGATCACCATTGCCTCCTGTCTGCACTTCCTATATCATATCATCCCTGGTCACCAGGATCTGAACCCCCAGAAGCTTTCATCATCAGTGCTCTTGATCACCCACATGTTTCGTGTCCCTGATCAACGATCAATAATATCTCGTTAATAATATCTGATCACCAACACCTCTGAGCACTGCCTTCTGGTCACGAATGCAGCCCATTTTCCTCAACACATTTTGCTTGGACGATGGCATTGCTCACTCACTCACTCCACTGCCACCTGTGACCCTGCTCTCACCTCTGACCTGTCCCTCCAATACTATCCCAATAGAATTGAGGTCTGCCCTGCCCCTCCAATGCCACCCCCACACAGGAGTATGCAAGATGAGCGCATGACCAGTGTGTTCTGGAGTGAAAGGAGGGGAGAGGTGGCTCACGTCTCCAGCCTGGTTCCCCTTCCCTGTCCTCTTGTTGAGAGTGGCGAGCACAGCCGGGAGGCCTGCCCTTCCCAATGGTCCCTGGCCTCGGCTAAGCCACCCTGCCTGCTTGGCCCAAAGCCCAAAGCCCAGTGTCTACAACCTGCAGACCCGAAACCAGGATATTAAGCCCAAGAACTAGGAACCAGCCCCGTGCCCCAGAGCTCAGGAGCCTGCATCTCAAAACGCAGCACCGAGCTTTGAACGACACCTAAAGCTAGAATTAGGTGCTCAGCACACATAACTTGTAAGCAAGGACCTAGAACTCAGAATCCAGATCTCAGAACATGGAGCCCAGAACCCAGGGGTCCGGATCAACCAACCCCCCCTGCTACTCAGTTGATGTCCACACATAGGGACCCTGTCGGACAGAGTAGAACCGCTCCAGTGGACTTCTGAATGACGTCAGAGAGCCTCGTTTTTCTCCGGTGGACCAGCTAGTAGGTGGGTTCGAACCGCGGGCCGTGTGGTTATCAGCCCGCTGTGCCATCAGGGCTCCACACAAGGCATCGGAGAAACAGCTAGAGCTTGGAACACAGAGCCTGTAACTTCGAACCAAGAACCTTGTTCGGGAGCCCCAGACCACCAACTTCAAAGGCTAAGCCCTTGACCTCGAATCTACAGAAAGGAGCCCAAAACTTAAGCCGATAGCCTCCAAATTCAGAAATTAGAACCTAGTACTTGGACCCAGACTTTAGAGACTTAGAGGTCAGAATCCAGAACCGAGCACTCAGACGGACCAGAGAAGCTTCCCTTGTTGTTCTTGTTTTTATTACCCTCTGACTTATTTCTTCTCTTTGACAGCAAATTTTTTTTGTCTCACGTCCTGTGTGCTTGGCACGGTGAGGGTACTGAGCACCCTCAGGCAAGAGATTCCCCTCCCTGCAAAGTCAATTCAGGAGGGCAGGGACTGTCGACCACATCCCTTCTGTGTTCCTGTGCGTCTTGCTGGCTGGGGTCGTTTTGCTTGGAACATCTGCTGAGTCGATCCATTCATCTGTCCCCTAACTGTGTGCTTAGCATCTGGGCTGAGAATGAATGAAAGCACTACTGGGGCTGCCTGGCAGCTCACAGAGTGTAGGCCTGGGGGCTGAGGTAGAGCGGAGGCATCTTGGGGGTGTGGCAGTGGCACTGAGGTGACTTCCAGGAGCAGGGGAACCCCTGGCTTTGGAGTCCTGGGTTCGAGTCCCAGCAATTCACTTTGGAGCAGCAGCGCTCCAGGCCGCAGCGGCCTCTGATCCTTAACTTCATACAAATACCAGTTCCTAACAATGACTCCATGGCCCAGAGCCATTGTGTCCGGTAAACAGTTTCGGTTTTGTGGCCACAAAGCACCCAGGCAGGGCCAGGCACGACTCAGGCACGGCAGGCGTCACAAGGGGTCGGTCACCATTAGCAGGCCGATGATTCCACGGGGCCTGGCGCCAGGGCGGCCCCGGGTGGGGTCGCCCTTTGTTCGGTCTGTTTGCACTCAGGTGGGGCCTGCTGGCCAGCCTAGGACTCTGGCTTGCTTGGCCCCCTTCCACCTTTCCTCCTGCTGAAGCACTTCCAGATGCACTTGTTATTCCCATTTTCCACGGGAAGAAATCAAGCCGCCTCTGTCCTGGGTCCAAGGTTGCACCGCGGTGATTCTTAGAGACCAGTTCTAGTCTCTAAAGTCCGTTCTGCCCTGTGCTCTCAAACTGAGGAAGGGAAACCATCTTCTCCCTTCCCAGGGTCACACAAATGGCAGATGCTGGGGGCGGGGGCGGGGTGGGGATAGCAGTACGGATCAGGAGGAACGCCAGCCTCAGGCTTCCACCCGGGATTAACTCGCCCACTAGAGGCAGGACTGACCCCAAATTAGTTTATTCAAAAAGAGCGATTCCATCCAAATTCCACACCTTTCTTTCCTTTTCTTTTTTTTTAAGGAATTAGGCAAAACGATAAAATAATTCCACGCTGTACCTGGAAACAGTACTAAGCTGGACCAGCAAAACAAGTCAAAAGATGATGGAAAATCAAGCAGGGCGCGTGAGCTTGTGTGTAACGCTTTTCAGTATTAGCCCCGATGAGATTCACAGTTGTTCAGACCTGTGGTCCTGCTGTAAGCACACCAGCCTATGCAACCACGAGGTGTCGAAGGGATCAGGTATTAGGCATCATCAGAACAAAAAATCTTACCATAGTGAATGATGGGGGGAGTGCACAGTGGAGACCCAAAGCCCATTAGTAGGCCACTGGAGATCCCCTTGCAGAGGGGTGTCGGGGAGGAGACGAGCCAGTCAGGGTGCGATGTAACAACGATGAGAAATACAACTCTCCTCTAGTTCCTAAATGTTTCCACCCCGCTCCCACTACCATGACTCGAGTTCGGCCTTGC